GAGGACACGGGGTTTGCTGACCCCTTGACCATTTCCTCCTTCCCACTGTAGTTGTTGTAGGAGTTTTCTGTGGCTGCGGTAACAAACTGCCACGGATGGGGTGGCCTAAACCAACACTCATTATCTTGCAGTTCTGTGGGTCAGCATCTCCTGGGCTAACATCAGGGTGTCAGCAGGGCTGTGTTCCTTCTGGAGGTTCTAGGGGAGAACCCACTTCTGGTCTTTCCTGGCTTCTGGAGGCTGCTGCATCCCTCTGCACGGCCCCTTCCTCCATCTCTAAAGCTGCAGGGGCAGGATAAGCCTGTCTCATGTCCTGTCACTGTAACCACCTCTCCTGCCACCCTCTTCCCTTCTTAGGACCCTGTTGATGACACTGGGCACCCCCCATCTTGGAGTCACTGACTAGCAACAGTTAATTCCATCTGTGCTGTAACTCCCTGCCCACGTAACCTAACACGGTCACAGGCTCTGGGATTAGGGTGTGGGCATCTTGGGCCCGTTATTCTGCCCACCACAGGTGCAGATCTCTCCCTGCCTGCTGAGGACTGGCTCTCCTGGCTTTAGGTGCCAGAGAGCCTCGGCCTGCATGGGGGCAAGCATCTCGGAGGTTGGCCTCTCTGAAGGACAACCAAGCTGTGCCACTAAGCAACGTGGGCAGGGCTGAAAGGAAGACCATTCATTGCCCTGAACACCATTAATTCCACACCCATTGTTTCCTGATCCTGTCAACACGTTTACACAGCTATAAACTCTGTGATAGCCTCTGATAGCCCGTGCTTAACTTGACTCCAAAGGCCATTTCTATTAACTACTGAACACAGGATTAGTTCGGGCTCCTGCTCCTAGTCTCATGCAGCCTGAGCTTTCTTGGGCCTTACCTTGTTAATCCTCCCTTGAGCTTAGAGCTGAGGTCACCTGCCTGGAAGCTGGGATTTTTTTAAAACTTTTTTTTATTGTGGTAAAATATATATAACATAAAATTTGTCATTTTAACTACTTTTAAGTATGCAATTTGGTGGCACTGATGATTTTCACAATGTTGTGCAGCCAGCACTACTGTTTCCAAAACTTTGTCCTCACCCCAAACAGAAACTTGTTCCCAGCCCCACCTCCCAGCTCCCGGTAATGTCTACTTTCTGTCTCTATGGATGTACCTATTCTAGATATTTCATAGATGTGGCATCATAGAATGTTCGTCCTTTTGTGTCTGCCTTCTCTCACTTAGCATTCTGTCCTCGGTTCATCTGTGCTGTGGTACGTGTCAATGACTACATTCTTTCGTTCCTTTTTAAGGATGAATAATGTTCCACTGTATGGATAAACCACATTTTGTTGTCAATGTCACTTGTGTTGTTTTCACCTTTTGGCTGCTGTTCGTGGTGCTGCTGCGAGCATGGGCGTGCAAATATATTTCAGTCCCTGTTTTCAGTTATTTGGTGTATATATTCAAGACTGGAATTGCCAGGTTATATGGTCATTCTGTGCTTAACTTTTTGAGCAACTGCCAGACTAGACTGTCTTCCACATTGGCCGCACCATTTTAATCAGTTCCAATCCCTCCACATCCTCACCGATTGTTATTTTCCTTTTTTAAAGCTCCAGCCATCCTAGTGGGTGTGCGGTGGTGTCTCGTGGTTTTGATCTGCACTTCCCTGTGGGGCATCTTTCCATGTGCTTCTCAGCCAGTCATATATCTTCTTTGGACTAAAGTCTATTCACACCCTCTGCCCATGTTTTAATTGGGTTGTTTATCTTTCTGTTGCATGGCAGGAGTTTGTTATATATTCTAGAGATTAAACCCTTATTCAGAGCTGGAATTTGAACCCAGGCTAGCCTGCACATGAGCCCTGTTCTGAACACTGCTCCCTCCCATGACCCCCTCCCCCACACCACCCTCTGGGGCCCCGTTAAGTCGGGCAGAGGTTTATTACTGGTTGCTGGGCTTGTTCGAGTGACTATCATCTTTGGGGATCTAATTGGGTGGTTTCCATGGCTGGGGTCAAAGGGCCCAGGTAGTTTTGTGGAGCTTGGAGACCTGTCCCAGGCTTGGTGGTGCTGTGTCAGGCCCGAGATCGGTGGAGTGGGGGCCAGGGTGGTGGGGCAGCCTGGCTGTACCCCCCTCTGCCAGCTGCCCTGGGAGTCATACCCAGTATCGGCCCTGAGAGGTGGGTGGGGCACATCGGGCCACCTGAAGGATGTTCTTGGGGCCACCACTCCCTTGGTTTGGAGCCAAAATCACATAGCTCTAAGATGAGGTGAAGGCTTGGTGGGAGCTCCAGTGAGCAGGCAGCAGGGTGTTTAAAGGCTGTCATTAAGCTGCAGGGTCGCCCTCTGGGGTCTGTGATTTAGGAACCGTCTTCCCTCCCAGCAGACGTGGGCTATACTGTCAATGCCAGGACTGTTCTGTGGGCACACACTCTGTGAGGCACATCACACCCTTGTCCTCTTACACTGGGTATGCTGAGGCCAAGAGAGAGGCGGGAACACACCCTGGCCACACAGCAAGATCAAAGCCCAGCAGGTTTCTAGGTCTGACCTACCCTGAGACAGCGCTTGTGGCTTGGTGGCTCAGGCAGGAGAGTTTTAAACCTGAGTCTCCCCTCTGCCTGGGGCAGACTCTCTTTGCCCACATTGTGTTTCTTTCTGACATGCTATTTTGTCTTCAGTCACTGGAGAGGCATACCTGTGCCTTGCTGGCTGGTGCTCCTATGCCACACGCATCTTGATGGGATCTGGAGGCTGGGGATGCACCTTCAGGTGCAGGCTGACCTGGCCATCGCCTGTGTCCTGCCCCTGTGGACTGTGAGGAGGGAGGAGGCCTGGCTGTGGGGCTCTGCCTGGCTGAGCCAAGCTGGCACATCCCTCTCATTCTGTGCACAAAGGGGGAGCACCTGTCTGGGTCACTCGAAAAGAGCTGGGGCGGGATTCGACCTTCGCCTGGCCCATACCAGCCTGGGCCCCAGCCTCTGCTGATGTCCTGGGAGAGCCTCTTCACAGGCCAGCCCTGAGGAGGGTAAGCCGAGGCTGCCAGCTGCTCACTGGGCAGTGGGTGGATGCTGGAGATACTCGGGACCCTGGAGACCGGCACTGACTGACCCAAGGATAAGCCCCTGCTCTGCTGGCTTGGTTTCCCCACCTGTGCATGATGGCGCTGGTTCCATCTCTTTTGAGGGCCTTTCTGCTCTTGCCCAAGGAACCAGGGGACAGAGCAGACCTGGGGGTATGCTGAGTATGAGATGACCCCTCCTGGATGCAGCACCAGCCACTCAGCCGCCTTCTGCCTCAAACCTGCCAGCCCCTCCTGCCAAACAGACACAGAGGTTTCTAGAAGGCATAATTGTCTTGCCCCCTCCCCCAGGGTCCTCGCATCTACCTCACCCTGCTCTTCCTGCCCTCCCCGACTTTCCCGCAGGTCTGGCTGCTGCGGCCTGGAAGGCCCTCCCCTGCCTGGCCAACTCCCACTCACATTGTTTTTTCCTTTTCTGTAAAACAAAAATACAGAAAAGTATAAAACATGCCATAACAAACACCCACCCAAAACAAACACATTCAACATTTTATCACATTTCCTTCAGTTCTTGTTTGTTTTAAGAACTGAGACACTGAGACAAAGCTGAGCCCTCCATGTTTCCCCCAGCCCCCCCCCCCCCCCCCCCCCCC